TATGCATCTTGTTTTAAGAATTTGAGAAATTGTGTTTTGTACTAAAAAAATAGAAAGAACTTTTTTTTCTTGTTTTTAAACAGTCAACTTGACCGTTGATTCCTTATTTCTTTGATATTTCAGTGTTAAAAAAATGATTTCTTATTGGTTTAAAATTCTAAATATACTATGCAATTGTTTTATTATTAGTTACTCTTCCTCCAATTCAGCAAAATCAGGGAAAAGTGTCAAACATTGAAGAATATTTGAAATGACAGTATTATATAAGGTAGTATACTCACGATTGCTTATGAGTTGGAGAAGTAAGACGATATGTGTGTGCTTTTGTGTGACAGTAGGTATGTGCACACACGTAAGATTTTAGTACTCTGGGGCTCCGTTGACCAGTAAACGTCTGCTTGCATAGCTTATCGCATCGTGGTCAGAAGCTTGATAATTAATTTAGTAAAAATATAATTAAACTGAATTATTGTACAAGATTTCTCTATTTTCTCATGGTTTATTGTACGTGGCTTTATCGAGATGCAAAAATAAAAATGGAATTTTTATTTAAATCGATAGAGAAAACATTTCAAATATTGAAAATATAGTTTGGAAAGAAGTTTTGGATTATAAGTAATAATGTATCTAATAATAACATCATGATTGTGATATTCCTATATGTATAGACAAAATTTATTTCTTAATAATACATCCCATAAATCTATATTATGTTGTACCAATCATACTAATTGTACCAATTTCAATATTTATTTAAAACAGAATAGGAATAGACCTAAGGCTTCGTGGTTTGATAGGGCTTTATAAGTTGAGACATAAAATACGTCATCTTAATGCGAAACTTCTACGGTTTGTATGAATGATAAACTGTATATAATTTAAATTTTTTTATGTATTGGTATTATTAATTCGTATAGAAAATAATATAATACACAAACATAAAAATTTTACACATAGTTTAACATAAATGCTAACAAAAAAAAGCTTAACGCACCAAGAACTTTATACTTACAAATAAATGGAACTACAATTGATATGAATTAATTTTTGGTCGTATTGAGTTTTATAAATAAAATAGTTATGGATCATTCGTATGTATGAAGTCCATCTATTTACCTCCAAGATGATGTGAAAAAATAGATGAAAACAAAATATATTGGAAGAAACAAAACATGTTATTATTAGTTAACATTCTTGACAAATAGACATTTTTACGGTACAAAAATATATATGACATATTATTTTTATGATATATTTAATTATATTTTTTTCTAAAAGACTCTAAAAAAACCATGAACGACTAAATAATCTTAAAACTCCCAACACAAATGGTTTTATATGGTGGAGCAACTATATAATATAATAGTTAACTTTATAATTCAATATATAATGATAATGATGCTTTGCGCAATGACCCCCTATAACTGAATTATGACTTTAAATATATCTTGACGATGAGATAAATCGTGGCGATAAGACAGTTTGGTCTTAAAGTAATTTTACATTAAAGCAGATTAAAAATAATAGACTTATCCATATACGACACGTACACGTCTAAATACACGTCAAGGTCCAAGAAATACGATAAATACGGTGTGATCCACGGTCTACAAAAGGTGTGTGGCAGTCGGTGGGGGGTGGTGGGGGGCGGTGAGGAGTCACAAATAAATTTGCAGGGGTTCTGTAGGGGCTGTGGGGTTTTTTAGAAAAAACTGCGATGGGTTGAAACAAGAGAAAAATGACAGGTTTTAACCTTATTTTGTGAGGGGTCAGTGGGGGGTGAATGGGGGCTGTGTGGAATGCCCTACTGAGATAACTATGTAATATCGGAAGATATATATATATATCTTCCTATATTATATAGTCGTGAGAGTTAGAGTGAGGTTTTGCTCCCCCCCACTTCCCCCCGCTCTTCCCCCCGAATAAGGTAGTTATTCTTTCATTTTCTTGCAATTTTCGAGTAATCCTACTTTTTTTCTAGCTCCCCCCCCGCTCCTCCCAGCTTCCCCATATATAATGTCAATATATTCGTAAAGCCTTATATATAAACTGCTACAAATGGTCTAATTTTCACACATAATTTTATTTGACCATAAAAAAAAATTTGTTACAATTACCTCACTTACGATGTTTATTTTGATAACATGCTCTAAAATGTCTTTTTAGGTGCTCTGCTCTTACATAACCTTTTCCACGATTTTAACAAATATTTTTTTGAACTTTTTTTTCATGACTTTTCAAATGTCTCTGTAATAATAATTTCTTTTTAAACTTTTTTCGCATTTAATACACTTAAAATTGTTTTCACTGTTTTGGCATTCCTTTCTGTGACGCAAACAGTTTTTCTTGTCTAATATTATAATGCTACACAGATAACATACAAAAAATTTTTCTATGTGAATTTTTTCGTGTTGAATCAAAGCTGATAGACACTCTTGATGTGAAAATTTTAAGTTACATTTGTCACACTGATAAAATTCTGCATCCATGATGGTGTATCTGAAAACATATTATAAAAAACGGATTGTTCATGATTACATAAATCTGGGTACTAGATGGTACTGAAATTTGCTTTTTTGATGAAAAAGAAAATTTTCAAGAAAGCATAAAAATAGTAATAAACTATAGAAAAGTTTTTTTGTTACTCTAAAATTTCATTCCAAACAATATTTTTAATTTCAAATTTGTTTTCTGATTCAATTTGATCTGTATTACTACCA